GAAAGTTGGTTGTAGACTGCTCAACTAGTATCTTGGAGGCAGGGGTTCGAATCCTTTCAAAGCCTGAATGTTTTCTGGTTTCTTTTCTGCAATTGCTTATAATAATTATATGAATTACAGTCTACTTGTGAGGATCATTTCTTTGCTTGAATTTAATCTGCAGGTCAAATTTGCTTCATTAAAATGATATCTTCTGTGATAACTGAACAACAGTTAATCAGTCACATTTGCTGATAAGGATATGAAAAATTGAATTCATTTCCCTCGTGTGTTTTTGTTTTAGTTTAGTTTTGTTTTGTTTTTTTATAGCAGATGACACAATGTAAGTTGATGAAGAGTAGATGATTTTGCTGCACTTGTCTGTGATTTCTATCAAGTACAACCTTTGGAACCATTTAAAAAGGGTTCAAGTAGGCTTAACATCTTATAAAAGATCTTTTCTTTATTAATTCCTTTTAAAATTTAGGAAATCCTTAACATTGTCATGAGCATCAAGCCTCAAATAACTCTTAAAATTGGTGATGAAAGAGTATACATGTAGTCACCTGTAGAAACGACTTTCAGTTCTAGCTGCAGTTAAACAACTATTAAAAAAAACCATGATGTGTGTTTAACAACTAACTTAATGACTCGCATGTATGCTAAGGCTGCAACTGAATTAATAAACAAAATTGGGTCCTTCACTAGTTTCTTTCCAAGCTTACTAATGACAACATCATACACCTGTGTTTATCTCGGACAGTTAAGTGTTCTGTTTATTATTGTCCTCGGTCAACCTGAGCAAAAAATGATCATGCTTCCTCTACAATGTGTTATTTGAGCTTACTAAATACACCTTGCAAACACTCTGAGTAAAAACATGTATGACTTCAACATACTTTCTCCTCTGTTTTCTAAATGTAAAAATTAAGGATTAAAAGGGGTAAGTTTCTAAAGAAACTGTGGTGCTGCTTTGGTTGGGGTAACATGGCAATTTGGTTTTATCAACTAAGTTGAAATTGTAAATTGGCCACCGTAAAAGAGTTAAAAAGCTGACGTTTGGAGCATTAGCCCTTCCTCAGAGCAAATGGGAGAATCATGTGTTGTGTGTGTCTATATGCAGAAAGTGGAGCCTAAACGCTAGGTGGGAACCGGGTGACGAAAAAAAGAAGAATGAATTATAGTAGAAATGAACAGCGTTCATTGACATTGCTTAGAATGATTAGGTAGATAAAGTTTCTGGCGACTGGTTTTGGTGTGTCCTTGTCATTCCTTTCTACGTCACGAAGGTGTTCTCGGAATCAAATAGTTTGATGACAGCAGTCAGAAGTCGAGAATGCTGTCTATTTTTAAAGGAAGTAAAACTGAGTCGTATCTGTCTTCGCTTTTAAAAATATATCTTTTGAACACTATTATTGTGTCTTAATTGAGATCTCAAGAAAATAAAAAACACAATCAAGAGGTAAGAAATGGCCATTTTCAAAATCAACTCAGTAATCTTGCTGCAAACCAACAACTCGCGAAAACCACGTCGAGTGGTTCACAAGCAGCAGCTGCTCTAGCCATTTAAAAAAAAGAGGTCATTATTTGCGTCAGTAAATACAGCATTTGTAGCATCTAATTGTCCAGGCAGATCATAATTGCCATTACAAAGCGTGGTCAATGTTGTTATTTCATAATGATGTACTTCTTACTGGCTGAGATAAAATTATATGGTTTTTCTT